AATACATACCTCCATAAACCTTATCCTGTTGAAAAAACATTTATATACTGGAATTTTTGCATAAGTCAGTTCCAAGAAAATACTCTCTATCCTGGTATGCATAATTTGTCATGGTATGTTTCTTATTTACTCATCAGAGTAGGGACCTCTGCTTATAACACTTGTTTAATGTGTTGCTTTTAATTGTAGGACATCAGCTATTTTGTCTTCATAGTTTGGGAATTAAAAACGTGCACCTGACCCCAATATCATGTATTTCTCAGATTTAATAATCAAAAATGCTCATGTTACTGTCTATTACTACTTAACAGCATTTATCGTACTTTCATATTTTTCTTAAATGAGATTACCATATTTCATTAAAAGTATTTAAGCAGGCAGTCCTTAAACTAGGATTAAAGAGGGTTGTGCCCTGTTTCAGTTAAACAGCTCTGTATCGTTAGCAGTGTGTGGGGAAAGTTTGTTAAGCACTGAGGGCTTGGCTCACAAAAAAAAACCAAGTTAATGAAATGTCTTTGAATACAGTTTCTAAACGTTACAATCATTGGTGTAGTAATTATTTGAAACTGTTAATGCTTTTCCATTTTACATGCTCTCATTGTTTAATCCATCCCATTTTCTGCTTTAGAAAATCAAATTGTTACAGTGTACTTGTACTGTAGTCAGCATCTGACATGAACCTACAGTACTTGTTAAATCCTAGTAAATTTAAAGAAACAAACCTTGTTTAAAAAAAAGTAGACTCATAGAATTGCTCAGGTTGGAAAAGACCTTAAAGATTATCAATACCAATCACAACCTGACCGTGCTACCCTAACTCTAACAACCCTCCGCTAAGTCCAAACAGTTCCAAACAGTTTTTAAACACATCCAGGGATGGTGACCCAACCGTACCCTTCTGTATCTATTTTGCATGTCTGCCATTGACCACTCCAGGCGGGAGGCCTGGAGATGTAAGCTCACGGTAACAAATTCTGTTGTGACATGACATGTTGAGTGTTCTGATTATTACCAGCACCTGTCTCATGGCCTCTTAATTTCTGTCTCCTTTTCTCTCTGTGAAGGGCAGAATGCCATAGGACTAGCAGTTAAGGGATGGCACTCCCAGTCTCCAAGCATTACTTAAGAGTCCTGTAACACTACGGTACCAGCAGATGCCTGAGATTGCAGCAGCAGTGTTGTTTCATTAGCTCCAGTGAACATGGGCGTTTCTGATTTTTGCATAAGCAAGTACAGATTAGAGTAAGGCTTCTATGCTCAAATCAGTTTCCTCAGGGTGGCTTCAGATAGTTTTAGAATAGCAACAACAAAAATAAAAGAAGTCCATAAAAGAAAATTATCTAAGTAGCTATAAAATACTGCATCACAGTAACTGCACGTATGCCAAATGTAAAGTACCCAACCAGATCGCTAAGCGGACCTCACGTCACTGTGTGACCCGACCTGCATAAATAAACATCTGATAGCATCAACGGAGACCAGCGTGTGGGCAGGTGAGCAGTGGGTTCCCAGCATCGTCTGTGTGTTAAGTATCATCTGTCGATCGAAATGGATTCAGGCAAAAAAAGAAATGTGTGTTATTTAGATTAGAAACAGAACCATTGCTCTCAGCTTTAAACATAAAGTCGCTGCTCCGGCTGCTCGCGAGGCGGCTCTTCCCTTTGTTCTGCGGCCGTGCCTCGTCGCTTTGACAGCGGCGTGATTAACGCGTCGTGACTGCAGTTTTCCACATTTCCAGTAGATGCCCCCAGAGACCATTAAACCTCTTGAACGTCTCCGCTTCAGCCAAATAAAAGGGCAGTCTTCTTTCATTTTCCTTCTCCGAGTAACATAATTGTTCGAAAGAAGCCTAAAATCGGGTGGGTGCGATAAAGTAAACTTCTCTATTTCTTAATATATCGTAATTAGTGTAAAAAATAGAAAACCAAAAGGTTTAGCATAAACTGGTTTATTAATGCAGAGGAAACGTAAAGCTAACAGCTGGACTTTATAAAATAAATCATGGACATCTAATTAGGTATCTGTTTTTGATATTGATATCAAGAATAAAGTTATCTGCAGCAATGTATCTCACTTCACATGCTGTGTGATATTATAGGGAAAGATATGAAAAGCATGTTGATTATTGACAATGCAGGGTTTATTTCAAGGTACCACAAAAAGTTCTTCTTGACCTTTGCTTCTGTCACCTGCACCACTCTGGCTAAAAGCACTGCTTTCTGGAGAGGATTTTTGTCTGGAATCACTGAGAGAACTGAAACAAATTCAGAATTGGTTACTGTGCCAAACTCTCATTTAGGAGGTTTCACCTGTAACATTCATCCCCATATCATTCATTTCTGCCCTTTCTCTATACTTTCTGTATTATCAGTCACATCTTATGTCCTAAACTTCTTAAAGGAAACAAATGTAGTATTTTGCTTTTTGGATATCAGGAAACACTCCTTTACTGAGAGGGTTGTTAAGCACTGGAATGGGCTCCCCAGGGAGGTGGTTGAGTCACCATCCCTGGATGTGTTTAAAAACTGTTTGGATGTGGTGCTCAGGGACAAGATTTAGTGCTGGGTTGTTAGAGGTGGCATGGTCAGGTTGTTATTGGACTTGATAATCTTTAAGGTCTTTTCCAACCTGAGCAATTCTATGATTCTGTAACTTTGGGAGACAGCTTACATCGTTGTGCCTCCAAAATCTGGGTGGTTATAAAGTAGTAGATAGTCTCATTGCTTGTATGTTGCTAATCCAGTCCTCATTATCTGAGAATAAATGCATTCCATACATTTGGCATCTTAACTACTATCTGAATCTCTTTATTAATTGGCATGGGCTTGTATTAAAAGAATATTAAAACTAATTTTTAGGACAGACTTATATTCCAGCATTTTTGTTTGTTTGTTTTCTTCTATGCATTTGATGATAACACTGTCTTTTACAGAAAATGTGCTTTGATATCAGGTAAAATGCACAGATTTTCTGTTGATTCAAAATATTGGTACTGGGTATTAAGAGCTAAAAATGAGCAGACCAATATTTTATTTATTATTTATGTGTATGTTTTTAATATATGAATGCATATTAATACATTAATATATTTATTATATATATATGAATAATAATTTATTAATATGTTTAAGCAGCTAATTACTTCTTTATTTCTAGCACATACAATCATCTAAGACATGTACACATATGTAATGTACAGACCACAGTAGGTAGATAAATACAGATGTGCAGATCTGTATACAGTCTTTATTCCATTGTTGTGAAATCCTATTACTGGAGGATTCGGTTCTCATCCTTTGAAAGGTGGTGGAAATTTTTAGCTTAAAAGTCGTCTTCATTTCTATAAATGGTTAAATAGAAATTTAAAAAAGAATAAATCTTATGTATAAAAAGTAAAAAATAAATTGCACCATATGAATATAACAACTACACAGTATTTTGAGGCTGCATACTGTGAACGTGGGATGTACCAGAAATATTTTGGCCCACAGAAGTATGAATGTTAATATATTTCTCTTCTCAGTTTTTGAAGATAAATGTTGCAAATGTTTTCTGGTAAGGAACAGTTATGTGTTTTCTTTTATATGTATGAATAGTATGTGTTTTCAATCTTAACAAAACATACACACAAACAAATTCAGAACTGAGAACTGTAGTTTAAGTCCTCACGTATCTTTTAGAGTTGTGTAATGTTTTTGTTTTGAGTTCTGCTACAGGAGTGTAAGAAATACATCTGCTGGATTAATGTGAATCTACATAGTAATTAATAGATTTCTTTTAATGGTACTGAACATGAAATAATGCAGAGTATTTACTTATCATGCCTCATGTTACTGTTTCCTTTATTGATATCTAGTTAAGACATTTTTATATGAATTCCATTTTAAAAAGCTACAGTAGCTCTTTGTAGGCTAGGACAATTGGTCTCATTGGGGTATTGTTCAGTGTGAGATCATCTGAATTTCTTGCATACTCTGTAAATCTCAGTTTTCAAAATTCCATATTTATTTTATAGCCGCTGAGAATTTGTACTTAAATAGAATCTCATCTAAAAAAACAATTTTGGAAACATATTGAAAACTTGAATGGAATCTGCAAAATAAAATTACCATATCTAGGCCCCTGTCATTTCACTGGGACAAGGATTTGTTTTCTCAAACTGGAGACCTACTTCTGCAGACATTTAGATCTGTACTTCAGTGATGCAGGTGGTCCCACTGGACTCATAGCTTTCTCCAGGATGGGACACAATAATTGTTTCATGCCACATAAAAGAAATGTTTGGATTATTTCCATAAATAATACCTAAAAAGACGTATTACCTCTTGAGACTATTTCATTATGCAATTTTTTGATATGTATATTTTATCAGAATTTATGAATGGGATAACTTGGATATAAATTCATCATTGCATCCTTTGATTTTAAAATTAGGGAGTAAACCAGTCCCAGCCGATATTCTATGCTAAAAAGAAAAATAATATCTAATGATTATGTTTCTGGCATAGCATTTGTTTGACATTTTAAACCAAGGCATTATATCCTACAGCAAAACTATTTAACATACACTTTTTCTTTTTTCTTTTTAACGTGTGGAATCTGCTACATTTTTCCCTGTGCGCTGTTTCAAAGCAAACTAAGAGTTTATTGTGTTTTCATAAACTAATGAAAACATGTATTTTTCCCATCAGTCAGCATTTTTTTAATTTTTTTTTTAATTTTTTTTTTTTTTACCAGTACCAGCTGAAGGATACCAGTACATTTTGAGCATGTTTGCAAAGTATATTTGGGTATTTATTTAATACCAAGTTCACTTCCCGAGGGGGGGATATTTGTAATTGTGTTTTGGCAGAATGCTTTTTGAGAAGAGGAAAGAAAAAAACGTTCCCTGCTGGTGATCTGCAGAGGTCTGGTCTTGAAAGCTGTATCTGTACTTATTTGGTAAGGTGGAGAAGAGAATATGGGTTTAAAGGCTTAAAATCCGTCTTTCTTATTCCCAGTAACAGGAATTCATACAAGGAGAACATCTGCATAGACATGCTGCGACAGGGTTATCACAAGTCCTTCTCCGAGCTCTTCACTCTGATACAGAAGTGGAATGCCTTGAGGGAGGCTGCAGGGCCTGGGTCAGCCATATGGCAGCGGCAGTCCCTGGAGGAGCAGCCTGATAAGCTGGATCAGCTTTACCACTTCCTGACCAGGGCTGAGGCAGCCCAGCGAGCAGGTAAATGGGGGGATTGTGGGTAGCAGAGCAGCGGGAGCCGCAGCCCCGAATGCCTGGGGGAAGCTTCCAAATTGTTTCATGTATGAATTTGAAACGTTACTGCATCTTAGCACATTTCAGCCTTAGTCGACTAAGCTGTATTTATAGAATAAATGATTAGGAGCTGCAGATATCGGGAGAGGGGGGGGAAAAAAAAGCGAAAACGTGTGGAGTGCGTTATAATATCATTAGAAATGTTTTGTATATTTATAGCTTTGATAACATCTCAAACATTTTCTCGTAACTTCATTATTTATTGTTTTTCTTTCTGTGTTGATTTGACTAGCCGGTTTTGTATTAGAAAAAAAATTAATAGGTGAAACGCTGCTTCTCACAGTAATAGTTGTATAAATTTGATTTTATTAAATAATCTGTCTGCTAACTGTTTGGATTTGTGACTGACCTTAAAAAGACTGTGAACGTGTCAAATAAAATACATCACGTAGCTGTAGCATGTCACCTGTGAATTGCTAGATATTAGTGAAGACGTAACTCCAAATTACTGTATTTTCTCTATTGCCTACTGTTTACTAAGCACTCTTCTTTATCATTTTGTTTGACTGTAAATAGTGATATAACTTACTTTTTCTTTCTCCTTTGGAATAATTGTAGGGAAGGAAGCAGGTAAAACTACAATCCTGTCTCACAGCAGAGCTGATTTCATCATATATTGCTTGTTTCAAGTAGTGTTTTCATCATTACAAAGAGAAAAATCTGAAATAAAGCTTGAGTGTTTGAGACTCAAGCTTTCTTACTGAAACTTTGAACGCTTCGTTTTAAAAGGGAACAGCAATAACAAAAACTTTCAGCACTAAAAAACAAACAAACAAACAAAAAAACCCTGTTCATTTAAAATGTTTATGTTCACTTTAAAGCCAAAATATGTATTCATTTAATTGGCTGTAATCCTAGGCAGGAAGTCTAACCAGACCATAATGGAAAAGTATCTTCAGATTTTTCTGAGTATGATTAAAGCCTGAACAGGCACCTCTGTAGTTTGTAGGAGTATGAAAGAGACATTTTACACTGAGACGAGCTTGATACACATAAGCATTCTGCCTTTGTGCTAGTGTTCAAAAGTAGTGGGTATGGAATATCTGGATGAGCATGCTTCCTGGAGCTGCTTGAGGGGAGAATACTTTGCTTTCCTTCTGTGCAAGATTTTCTCTAGTGTTGCTAACTGGTACATGCCAATAGATTTGGCAAGTATCCTCCCAGAGAAGTAAATTCAGGTTCTGCCCAGTGAAAGGCAGAGGCCTTTCTCTCAGTGAACTTGGCATTCATTGCGTGCTGGGTTCCATGAGAGGTGGGATGCTGCCAATTGACTGACTGATGGAGTCTTGCCTCTAGAAGGGAGTATCTCCAAATTTTACCTGTTGAAGTTGGTTGAAATGAAGGCTAAGTAATGAGAACCTGCCAGCAGACCTGACAAATGTTTAAGCAGCAAATCATTAATGAATTCTTTGATTGTGGAATGGTGAGAGTTCTGATTTTTTTTCAGTATATACCTTGGCACAAATCTGCATTTCATGTGAGGCCAGAGCTATGGCACATGAGGGGATGGATGTTGATTCATACTGCAGATGTTACAGCTAATAGTGCTGCAAATATAACGTATGAATTACACAGCTCATCAAATACTAATTCTGGAGTTCCACTAATCCAGTTTCTCTCTGATTCTAATCAAATTGCTCGGAGCTCTGGCTTATGATCTTATGACAACTTCAGCTGAAAACATTTTAAAACTGTACCACAGTTCAGTTCATCCTTCAGCTGGAGTTTACTGCAGTGTAGCAGTTGCAACAGCAGCTGACCTGTGTTTGCTCCTCAGCCACCACAATTCAAGCCAAATATGGCTTAAAATGCTTTAAGTAATATTTGTGGCAGTGAGGTGTGAGACTTCCGCAGTAACATTATGCTGAAAATTTACCTGTCTCAGATACAGCATCCCAAGCTACAGTTGTGGTGAAAAAGAACAGCAAGTATGACAAAAAACTTTATGATTTGTAATTTTTTTATTAATTTAAACTTCATGGGAGGATTGTTTTTAAAGTGGAAGTGGCAAAACAAAAATGAAACATAGCTTATCTTAGTAAAAAGTTTTCCCATTTGTTCTTTAGTTTTTTCACCTGATATTTTGGTGCCTCAGAGTGTAGCTGTCTCAGTGTGAATTTCAGTTAGATCTGCTGCCCCTAAGTTCAGCATTTTAGAGGTCTTAGCAAAGTGCAGACAGAAAGTTAGGCGTTCATTCATCCGCTTTACATACTTATTGGTGGAATATGTTTATGTTTTCTTTTCCTGACTGATTGCAATTATTGATGCTACGATGTTGCAAGTCAATTGTTTGCTTGGACAGAATTAATCAAAGCAGCCCATTATGATGTGGAGGCTAATATCAAAGAGCAATTAATTTAATTACTTCTACATTTTGAAAATCGCGATTGTTTACCAGTGTTTTTTTATACAAACTATTTACCTTCAAATATACCATTGAGCATTCTCTCAGTTCTTGTTTCTAATGGAACATTTCAATGGAACTTCGAATCATACAGCAGTCCTTTCTTTTAGGCTGGTATTATACTGCTTGCAAAATCTGTTTTTCTAACTTTATCTCATTGCCATTGCATTTGAATACTTTCCAAGTATTTAAAAATAAAAAGCTAACAGTAATCCCTGCATCTTCTCAAAAAAAAAAAAAAAAAAAAAAAAAAAAAAAAAAAAAAAGTAAAAAAGCTAATGTTTATTTTGCCTTAAGTACAGAATTATTTTAAAAAAGAAAAAAAAAGGAAAATATTTGGCAGAAATATTGGTGATACTTGTTGACTGCATTCTTCTTTGGTCTTCCTTGATGCAAGCAATGTAAATGTTTTGGACATCAGAATACAGTTGTTTCCAATTATTCTTTGAACTTCCTTCATTATCATGCACTAGTCTTTCTTTATAGTAGTTTTCATATCAGTAGCTTAAAAATTAAAAAATGATATACCTGTTTAAATAAGTGTAAATAAGTATACTTTTAGGATGTTTTAAAGAACTCAGGATATATGCCAAAGTAGTCTACATAGCTTGGCATTACTTGTATAATATGATAATGTATACCTTGATAAATGTTGCCTTTTTCAATAAGAAAAATATATATCTTGAGGCTGTTGAATTGAATGCCCTGTTGCCAGACTAATTTCACCGAAAGGTATAATTGTCCTTGGGATTGATGTTGCAATCCCTTTGAAGAGACAGAGCTCCCTAGCACCCATTCAGTACTGCTCTGTGTGTTAGCAAGAGGAAGTGTTGGAAACCACAGTCCCATTCCAGACTGACAGTGAGGACTGCCGACTGAAAATCTTTGGCTGCTGACATCCTTAGAACAAACGATGTCCATACCCTGCATAGGCACAGCTAAATAGGGTTAATTTTGCGTCCATTTTGTTTGTCTAAGACCCCAGATAAAATTTGGCTCTTTATCTGTGTGCATTTGGGTGGGTCATAGGGAAAAGTAGTATCAAAGGAAAAATACCCAAGTCCTTTGCTTACCTTTTGGAATTTTTTAACACCCAGATTAATGTATGCCTGGGAGAACAGCTTATTATAATGATGGATGTTGCTGTTCCTCAGACAAAAATACTTACAATAGCTTTTATGTGTTCTTTGCATGCATTTTACCATGAGAGTATAACTGATTCTTTGAATTGTTACCTGGCTGCTACAGTCTGCCTTATTGTTTTAAAATGCATTGCTAATTTGGTTTTTGGATCTATATGCTCATTGGGTGAAGCCAGTTCTTTGAATTATCTCCTCAAATTATTGTATAGTTCTAGTTTTGTAAGTTGGTTAGCACTGAGCCTACAAGAAGAACAGCAGTACATGGATTGTACCATAAAGCATCAATCTGGTATTTCAGAGGGAGGTCAGTTCCTTGGATTACATCTGAATTGCTTATTGAATGGAGATGTGAACCCAAACTGAATCCTTACCTGTGCTGTAATGTAAACCACAAAGACCCTGTGATCAGTGCTTGCTAGAGTGGTTGGTTACCTGTGTTGCATTCTCCTTCCAGACAACGCAAGTCAAGGTACAACTCAAGAATTCTTTAAGGAAAATGCCTCTCAGCCACTGACTTTACTTTGCTGGAGCAGGGGAGCCAAACCAGGGGAAGTCACGCTGTTCAGTAGCTGCAGTGAGTCAGTCAGTAGCAGGTGACTCTGTTCCCTGTGTCAGAGCCAGTGCATTGAGCTAATATTCAGTGAACATGCTTTGCAAGGGGCAAGACATAGCTTGTTAGCTGATCACTGGGGTAGCTGGTGGAGAGTTGGCATTATGACCCAGGAGCTGTTGCTTTTCTTAGACCCTGTGCAACCTTTGTGGTATGCCAAATGCTAAATCTGTGCAAGTGCTACAGGCTGCTGACCCTTGTTCTAGAGAATATCAGAGACAAAGAATTAGAAGGAAGTGCTAACTTAGTTTTTTTTTCTTCACTTCAGTACAGAGCAAACTTTTGTCAGTGTGAATTAGTATTTGTTCTCATTGCAAAAGGTACTCTATAAACTACATGAAGAAGCATGAATCACATTCGGTGAGAACATTTGGTGCGTTAACACTAGAAAATCTTTCTGTGTTTGAGGTACTGAAGGTCGAAAAATGAATTTAGCATTTTACAGGGAAAAACTTTTCTATAAGATTTCACTTATGCCTTAGGCTGAACTAGAAGAAAATGTGATAACCTTATTGCCCATGTTATGTTGAGGGGGAAAGAAAAAAAGAAAGAAGGAAAGGTAAACATACCAAAAGTTCATTCAATATTTTCTAGGAGGAGCTAATTTTTGTTTGGTTTTGAGGGAACAGGCAAAGGAATGCTTTTGTTTTCTGAAGCAGGCTTGTTCTTCTCTACTTTATGCTGTTCACAGGAAAAAAAAAAATGTAGTAGTTGCTAGAGAACAATGGAGTGACTAGCTATAATTTATTAT